AGAGAGAGAGAGAGAGAGAGAGAGAGAGAGAGAGAGAGAGAGAGAGAGAGAGAGAGAGAGAGAGAGAGAGCTCTCTAAGCTTTGAACTGTCACGCTTTTGCAAATTTTACATTCTTAAACTTTTGTTCCAAGGACCGTTTCAAAAGTTGGACTGGAAAGTGACAAATTTTTTTTTGTAAAAAAAGTGGTTTTTAAGGTGTTTTCAATACAAAAGAAGTTTAATGCATAAAACAGTGCAGAGGATCTTCTAAAAAATTTGTTCAATTTCAGTATCAATACCTGGTATTTCTATCTCTTGCCGCTATCAGGGCCTCAATCCTCGTTAACATATTCTTGATGAGGTGTGCCTTGAAACTGACTTCTTGTTATGGGACGCTTCTCGCTGTTATAAATTTTCACTATTCACAATTTTTGAATTTACTGCATGAATGACTGAAGCTAGGAGCTTTCAGCTAGGAAAACATTTAAAAAAGCCATCTTGTTTAACATAAAAAATGAGAACTAGCGCAGGTCTGTGACTTGACATAAGGATGAGAAATATGCATTTCCAAACTTGGCCATTTTTTTGTGCAAAAACCAGATTTTTTTTATGGGCAGTTTAGTATGCTAATGAAAAAACAAATTCTCACACAGAAATTTTACTTAACATGCTTACATTTCAAACCATCTCCTTAACTCTTTAATGAAAAATTAATTTGAAGTAAAAACGGTTAATTTCATGTTAAAAAGGTTTATTTTGGTGCAAAATAGATAGGCTTAATTTCAAAATAAAAAGGGTTAATTTGACGGAAAAAGCTATTTATATGTAATTATAATATAACTTATCCCAAAAAATACAAATTCAAGCAATAATAAAATCAGAGTCAATGAGAGAGCATTGTAATTTAATACAATATGCATCATTTAGCATCATACATTTGTAATAGTGGTAATTATATTTTTTAAACCTCATGTTCTGCGAAGAGATGTTCGGCATTACGACCAGTTTCTTTAAGATCGACAACCTTATTGAAATATTTATAAACCAAATATCTCAACTCTGGTTCTGAAAGGCTCATTACATTTTCCAAGATGTTTACTTCCTGAATAAAAATGAAATATTACTAATAAACCTCTTATAAATTACTAGATAATTAATTTATACGATAGAATGGCATACTTTTCCTTGCTCTAAGCCATCGTTAAGAAAACCTTTTTTCCCAGTAAGTGCGTTATTTTTAAATTCTATGGTATAATCAACAGCTTCGAGTGCTTCATTAATTTCAAGTAATTTCCTTTCATCTTCATTACTGAAAACTTTAACCTACAAAAATAACAAGGATATTGTAACTTGTGATGATTGTAAATCAGGGAGTTTTGATGTGGGTGGTCGAGGCAATTTTAGATTTCTCATTTTACTTTTTTCTTATTTTAACAGAAATGACTGAAAACAATAGCAGAGGTGTGGCGAGTTTCTACTGTTGTAGAATATTTATGTGCAAGGGGATCCTTTCATTTTAGAAAATCTCACTTCTTTGTTACTATGGTCTCACTAATATTTAATGAATTTTTAACCCTCATTGGCTAACTGTAAAACAATAAGTATATGCTACAAAAAGAATTTGCAACGAGTATAAATATCTTAAGTCTAAAGAAAAGAAATCTTTTCATATTTAGTGCATAAGTCAATAGAAAAATAATCAGTGACATTGAACTATGTTAAAACACCAAAAATCAATGAAAATTTGTTGGAAAATAAATAGAAATGTCAAAAAAAGCTATGTCAAACATTATATAATTGATGTTTATTTAAAGCTGGTAGTAAATATTATATGTACGCATATATTCTTGAGCTTTTTAATATATTTAACATATTTTTTGGGTAATGTACTTACTCTGTTTAATTTATAATCGAGTTTACACCTCTGTTCAAGCAAAAACATTTTTGTTTCTCGTAAATTGTGTATTTCTTGTCTATTAGTCTCTTCTCTTGTTTGTCTCGAATGAATATTATTGTCTTTGATCCTTCTGTATGAACTGTCATGAGTAGTTCCCCAAATTTTTCCATAAGCTGATTTTGTCAACAATATTTCTTCCTTTAATTAAAACAAAAAAAGTTAAACAACAAATTTGTATATTTTCATTTAGGCACAACCTTAGAGTGACAATAGAATGATCTTACTCACTTCCTTTGAGTTTGGCTTGGGAAGGCAAAATGTTGATCCCTCAAAACTGTCAAATCTGTTACTATCATTAAATTGATTGGATTTATCAAAATCCATCGGTTTTGGGAAAATACCTCCTGACAAAAATCTATTTTTATTGGTTGTCCCATCGGCTAAAATAACTCATTTATTGTATAACTTTGTATGTATGCATCATAAGCCAGATAATAAATAAATAACATACAACACGTTCCTTGAATCACGTTTGATTCACTTTCAGAGCATTCCCAGCTGCCATACCCCAATGAATCATTTGCAATTGATTCATTTAAAGTTTGGAATCTGAAAAAAAAATTGTAAAATTAAATATCACATAGCTTTAAATATATATTTATCTAAGATATATTATTGGGTTGTCCAGAAAATAATGCAGGTAAATACCTTCACTCTCAATACACTTTTCACAACGTGATGGCAACTTCACCCTTTGAATGGAATTTTGAGACTTTATTTATTAACAAATTCTTTAACACATTTTCTAAGGACTTTTGATCAATACATTTTTTATGTTGTAAAATGTTGTCCAGGTGTCTGACAAAATCGTTGTCGGTAAGCAAGAGGTCTGGAGAGTAGGGAGGGTGAGGTAGAACCTAATAACCAATATCCAACATTTTTCGTGTTGGCACTTGTGATACATGGGGCTGAGTATTGTCATGTAGAAGAATTAGCCTTTTCCGATTGGGCAAAGATGGCTTCAATAATGCCAATTTCTGGTGCATGGCTTCAATTTGGGAGCAATACATTTTGGCGTTGATTGTTTCGCCAGGATTCAAGAAGCCCACCAAAGAGTCAACATCACCTGTTTTTGATGAGTTGGGGGTTTGGAAAATGTAGCGCTGCTTCTACTTTGTCGGGACACTGTCTAGGGGGTCTGCAGTTATCATAGAGAATCCACTTTTCATCACAAATAACAATTCTATCCACGCAAGGTTTGTTTCTGTTTCAGCATGAGGAACCAAACTTTCAAGCTTTTTCATCTGTCCAATTGCCTTTCATCAGCAACATCCCATTTGCTAATAGAAAGATTCTCTACAAGTTCTCGAACAGTTATTCTGGGATTTTCTTCGACCATAATTCGCAGAGCATCATCATCAAGGGAAGAAATCCTTCCATGATCTCTTTCTCTTCCAGGCTAAACTCTCCTTCTCGAAATTCTTGAAACCATCGCTGAATGGTGCTCTCACTACACTGCCATCACACCAGACTTCATTAATGTTCCTCGCACTGTTCCGACTGAGTTTAAAGTCGCAAAACGAAATTACGCAAAAATCATGCGTTGACATGTTAGTAAAGGCTGAATTATTTCCGAGTAATGAAATGCTATTGAAGTAAACAAACATTTTTGGATTAAAAAGTGTTGACATTCGCACAAAAGAATAATCCATCAAACATAAACAATTTATTGTGTAGAGTGGTAAATGAAAGAAAACATGAAAACCTGCATCATTTTCCTGACAACCCAATACAAACCTATTGTGTTGAGATGCAAACTGTCCTAAAATCTTATCTTCTTCTTCACCTGCTAAAAGAGGCTCCTCATCACTATAATTATCACTATCACTTAAAATTTCTGCAATGTTAAAATAAATTGATTAAATAAGAAGCCAAATATAAATAACTTTTTATTGCGTTAATAAATACCAACCTTGATATGCCATAATGGAATTAACAGCTTATTATCCAAACTAATTAAATATCACTTCATGAATAGATGGAGCTGCAAAAGAAAAGATTTTATTAAACATTTTCTAGCCTATTAAGAATCATATCCTGGTAGACTAGGTCTTTTTCAGAGAACTAATTTTATTGTATTAGGATATTTTATATTTTATATTTCCTCTCTCCTGTTCTTCTTGGATACTTCTCAGATTACTGGATACAGATAAAATGTTATAAGTAAAAAAAATACAGATGGTGGTATAATCACTGTAAGCTTGACAATTAAATTATATGATTTTGTTGGGCCATCCTTTACAACAATTACAATTAATTAAGGTTTTTAGTTGAGATAAAAAAGTCAATGGCACGAGCGGGTTTCGAACCCACGAGAATCCAATCCGATTACACGACATTTGAAAAATGGCAAAAAGGAGGGAAAATTCAAAAGGTGCGGTTGAGATGGGAAGTTGGTGTTCGAGTGGATTGAGGTCATGAAAGCTCAAATGGTAGAGCAGCGGCGTATCAAGCCGAAGATCGTGGGTTCGAATCCCGCTCGTGCCATTGACTTTTTCATCTCAACTAAAAACCTTAATTAATTGTAATATATTAATTGGTCAAGTGGACCACGAAATTAGTGACTTTACAACAATATTCAGAGAGGAATGCAGCAACCCACGATTACCAACTTTAACACTCTACATTCTAGTAAGTGTTTAGCAATGTATATCTTCCTCCTTGTGCACAAAGTAGTGTATGGGAGCCTTTTTTGATGTAGTACAAATGTTTGACCGTGTATGTTACAAGGGCCTCCTTTATAAATTAATGGAAGTCCTTCAATACCCTCGACCTAATCCTCCGACCTTATCTAACCTTCATGTGGGGGCGACGTTTTTGTTTTTTCAATTGCTACTCACAATGGGATTGCTTTCTGCTAGGATAAAACCAGAAATTTTTGGGGAGTGGCTGGGATATGTTAACCTACTGACCATATTCACCTCTCATTGCCCTTTATATGTAGCTCAAAAACCTGAGGTTCTGGGAAGACAGACTTAAAATTACATAAAATATGGCAACAGGTAGTGAAACAACATGATTCATGGTTGATTAAATTTGTTCAAAAGTACCTGAAGTTTTCATTGAATTTATCATAATAAAACATTACTGATTTGAAACAACCTGATAAGAGCGATTATTTGGGTGTATTCATATTTGCATTCCAAAAATAGGTTTGGTGGAAAAAATGACATTTAAAAAGAAAATGTTTATTACCTACTTATAAAAAAAGTTATTGAGTAAAGAAAAAAAATGAAAAACTAATAAAAATGTAACAAAAAAAAACTTTTTTCCCATTTAATACCGAGTATTTCTACCTCTGGTACGAATCCAATCCGATTACACATGCCGTTGGTTTCCTTGGAAAAGATTTCTGATACAATCCTGAGGAATTTTTTCCCATTCATGAAGAACAGCTGTTTCTAACATTTCTAAGTTCCAAATAAATCTAGCTCCCAAAAAAGAATGCGAACGAGAGGGAAACACCTGTTTTAAGAATGGCACCATCCTTTGGTACACAGATGGATCTAGAACACAAAAAGGTACAGGGGCAGGAGTATTCAGTCTTGGAACCAAGTACTCAGAACCCATGGGAAAATACACCAGTATCTTCCAAGCTGAGATTCACGCAATCGAAAGATGTACCCAACTCAACCTGAATAAAGGGTACAAAAACAAGAACATAGCTATCATGCCAGATAGTCAAGCAGCCATCAAAGCACTAAGCTCAAATATCATTAGTTCAAAGATGGTGCTGAACTGCAAAACCAAATTAAACATATTCGGTACGCAGAACAAAGTCAGTCTCTGCTGGGTCCCAGGACACATGGGAGTAGAAGGCAACGAGAAAGTGGACACCCTGGCAAGGCTAGGAACTACTACACCGCTGCCAGGACCTGAACCCTTCTGTGGCATAGGAATCCACACTATTAACGAATATCTCAGACAGAAGGACAAAAAGAAAATGAAGGAACAATGGAATTCACTCATTGGACATAGACTATCCAAGAATCTTCTAACCAATTTTGGCAAGAAAGAAATCACAGAATCTGTCAAAGGAAGCAGGAATAGACTGCGAATCCTAATAGGATTCTTAACGGGACATTGCAAGCTAAATGGACACTTAAAGAAGATTGGAATAATCCAAGACGGCACATGCAGATTCTGCAAGGCGGCAGAGGAGACACCAACACATCTACTTACAAACTGTGAAACTTGACCGCAGAAGGAAGTGATTTGGGATGTACAATGTGATCATAGAAGAGCTTCAGCCACTGAAAACACGCCTATTAATCAAGTTTCTTGATGAAATAGGACTCACCGATGTGCTTTAGGCAGAGTACGGGGGATACAATAGCTCTTAAAGGGCGCAGTATACTACACCCCAAATATTACATCTACATTTACATCTAACACTTCTAAGAGTTAGGACCTGGGTTTCGCTGTCATACTCGTCAATTAAGTTGGTCCCAAATGTGTTCCATTGGGTTTAAAACTGGGCTTCGAGCTGGCCATGCCAAGCAGTCAGTTCCAACCTCATTCGGGTAGTCATCCACAATATGTGCCCTATGGGGCCTGGCATTATACTGCATTAGCAAGAATCTCTCACTGATATGGGAAGGGGCAAACGGCATTACCTGGTCTTCAATTATGTAAGTACATCTGTGAAATTAGAGATCTTCCTCACACAACACCATTTCAGTGCGGGCATCCAAGGAAATGCCACCCCAGAACATCATGACCCACTACTGGAATGCCACCTGAGGATGGTATAGCATGGGTACCTTCCTCCTGAGCATATCCATATAAAATTATGCCCATCTGAAGATTTGAGGCTAACTCTTACTCATCTATAAGGAGAACTAGACCACAATCTTCCAATGTCCAACTCACATGTTAACATGCAAATTGAAGACTAGCCATTTTTTGAGCACTGGTAAGGAGAGGTCCACGCCCTGAGGTTATTTTCATTGAGACTTCTTCTTACAGTCCTGTAGGAAATCAAAAGTTTTTGGACTTGTTTTATCTAATTTCCCATTACGCTGTGATTTCGTAGAGCCTGATGGATGAATCCATCATCTTTCTTGTCGGTAGTCCTAGTTCGACCCTGTCCTGACCTTCTAGGGTGAAGCCCTGTTTCTCTGATGCACCGAAAAACCCTTCCTACTGTATGCTGTACTAACTCAAATGCCTGACTGGAGCCATTAAAAAAAGGTTTAACAAAAAGAATGATAACAGATGAAAACAATGAAGGAAAAAGATTAACTGAAACCAATCATTAGGCGTAGCGGAATAGGATGGTACATTGCCACTTTTTGTGCAAATGGGATTAATCAGTACAAAAGTAAATAAAGGAAGCAAACAAAGCATTATTTACAGTTTGACTTTGATAGCTCCTATTTACCTGTAAATAATGTACAAAGATAATGGATTAAAGATAAATAAATTGAGCAGTGCGTTAATTTTGTCCATCAGTGTAGAAGGCCTTACGTAGACCTCCAGCGAGAAACGACGGGTGAATCATTATTTAACAAGTTTACTTTAAAAACCAAAAAAAAAAAAAAAATCATTCAAACAAAACACTGAATATGACGACAAGCATGTGACAGACAAACAAGCGAGACTAGGCGGACCAAAATGATCGGAAACGTCCCTACAGGTTCATCACCACGCAGACCTACAGTGCGTTTTTCCATTTGAAAATATTTGATCGTTATACACCACCGAACTGGGCGGCCGGCATGGGTAGAAACAGGTATTAATGCCATCTAAAAAAAAATCTGGTACCTTTTTTGGAACCGTTTGAGGTTCACGTTTAACGGACAGCGGCTGGAGAAAAGGCGGATCGTGGCCTCTGCGTCGTCTGGCCTCCGGTTCTGGATAATATCCACATTTTGGCTGGAGCGGGTTTAGGCAGTTAGCCGACGAAGAACGCAGATCACTTGACTTTTGAGGAGGTACTAGGTAGTCACTAGTCAGGTGTAGTGAGGTGTCACCTACTAGTTGGACGAAAGTCGATAGTACTATACATATATCGATATTTCATTGTCGAGTGTCGCACTTTTGGAGGGTAAATCTCAAAACCAAGGATATAACTATCATGTCGAACAGCCAGGCGGCCACCACATCATTAAACTCAATCATTATTAGCTCAAGGTTGGTGCTGAATTGCTTCTAAATTAAACAGATCAATCAAAACAAAGTTACACTTTTCTGATTCGCAGGACTCACAGGAGTAGAGTGGAATGAGGAAGCGTACTTGTGGATAGGTCCTGAGCCTTTTTGTGGCATAGGTATCCACATTAAAAATGGCCATCTTAGACAAGGTAAGGATATTACTGCTAAGTCCTGAATTTTTACATCTTTCTTCTAAGGATTGAGATGGAGTGCCCTGTTTCAAAGATTAATTGAATTCATCCAGGACTTGTGCTTTGGCTATCAGAACCTCCTGCATACCAACGTACTTCACACAAAATATATGCTCATGGAACTGAAATTGGCTGGGCTGGATGTGCATACATTGTGTGTGAAAGACAACATTATATATGAAAACTTTAGACTGGCTTAAATTTACTCTAACAATTAAGCTGAGTAGATAGCACTCAATTGACCTGGTCGAAACCTATATAAATATCAGCTTAAAAGTCTTTGGTTGTGAACTTAGAGAGTCGAGAGAATAATAGGATAGTAAATAATTTGAGAACAACTCGCGTGGAGAGAAAATGACACACATTTCAAACATGTATATAACACGTATAGATTGTTTAAAGAAGGTATTTCAACGACGAGGTTATATGAACCCTCGGGGTGCCAGGTTTTTGAGAAAAAAAGCCCATATGTAAGCATGTCAGGTTGAACTGCAGGGCTGCTGGATTTGAACGTGGAACCTTTACTTACAGTAATGCTGCCTACACCGTTACGGCCACCTTTGCCCCGAGAACACCTTATTGTCTAAATACTGGCTGGGATGTTAGCTTCAAATGGTTAAAACCCATCATGGAAATGAGGGAAATGATTGAACAGATATGTTGGCAAAATTAAAAAACATTTGGCTCCCTGCTTTAAATCTACTTTGGACTGTCAGTTGTAACTGATGAGAGATAGACAGATTCTATACTCTGTATATTTCTACTAACGTCAAAGTTCAAGACTTGAGTTTGCCTGTAGTGATCATGGTACAGCAAGTCATAAAGCACAATTAACTCCATATACAACACTGCCCTAAGAATTACCACTGGAGCAATTAGATATAGTCCTGTTAATAGTCTTGATGCCTTTTGCCTATAGGAGAAAAATTATTGATGCATCATACTTAGGAAAAATTGTTTCTAACAACAACAGTCTAACTCCACATAATGTATTCAATAGTACCAAACAATTTTCACAAAGAAAAAAAAAACACCTCCAAATTGAGCCCTGGATAACGAAAAGCTCTAAATTATCTTTCATTAACCACTTTAAAAAAAGAAACACCATGTTATACATAAAGCAGCAAAAATTAGCCCAATTATATTGATCCAACGTTATTTATGTTCTATGACAAATCTATATGCTTCAGGTGTCTCACGTATGTTTCAATTATACAGCTGAGTTATTAGTTAGCAATAAAGAAAACTATTACATATCCTCCTCATTGTCAGCCAATTGCGACAAAGAATCCATTTACTGATAACCCTATAATTCAAGACATATTACATCACCTCCGTATGACACTCAGAATATCCTTGTGTTTTTCTTGTGGTTCTCTGGTCATATTGGTATTTCTTATAATCTCATTATTATGCACACATGTAAAAGTTGTTATGGTCCGACTGGCCATGAATGGCTTGGTATGTACTATGAATAACAAGCTGCATGTGACAAACAATAGGCAAGAGGAAGAGTAATCAGTAGTCTAAGAATAGGTCACACTCTATGCCATTTATAGCTTTTTTTTCTGTCAATGATATAACCAGTTGAGATCAGTGAATGGATTCTAACAAAGTGCTCTGCACCTCCCCCAAGCAGTTTCACTTCTCTGAGTGGTTTTAGGTAGATATGAATTCCAAGTGAGCCGCTGGTCTCTCACCCCTAAATATTTGGTTTCGTTGGAAAATGGGATCAGAGTCCCGTTTAGGCTTGGGGTTATTAGATTTACTATTGTCGTTACTATATGGTGGATACAATTATCATATTTCTTGGGCATTTGGAAAACCTCCACCCATTGGCAGACCTTTCCCGAAACTCCCCTGTTGTTTATTGCTTTATATAGAAAGGCTGTATTTGCATTGTTGAATTCTCCCTCTATACCTTTGAAAAGTGTCTGCTGACTCCTTGTCATTTATGGTCTTGGTTAGGTGTTTGCACAGGTCATCCAGTGCTAACTCTGTAGAACTCCCTGCTTGATAAGCTAATTGTCCCTCACTGAAGGGTTTGTTTTTCATTGTTTTCTTTTGGATGTGGTTTTCTAACAGTCTTTGTGATGTTTGTAACATAAATGATGAAAGGCTGATAGGTCGGTACAAGTGGGGCTTGTAGTCAATGGGTCATCCTACTTTTGGTATATACACCACTCGTTTTCTCGCAAGTTTTTCTGGAATATAGCTGCAGGCTCTGAATATTATCGCTAAGTGAAGCCTTTTTGTAGTAGGACTGGGTAAATTCCGTCCACTCCTGGTGATTTATTTAGGCAAACTATCTCAAGTACCCAGTTATGGCTTTCGGTTTTACTAGTTTGCCACTTTCTTCCACTCTCTTTTGACTCTTTTGAAGACCTTTTTGGTTTCAAGTATTCAAAGGGTACTTCTTCATGGATTATTTCTGCTCCTGGGATCAACAGAAAGTATGTCCTTCTGTTTATGTGAAGCTTACATCTGCATTTGTGAGAAAGCTTACCTGCTTCCCTGTACTATCCTTGGTTAGGGCTTTATGTGTGCGGGCACAATGAGGTGTTTTTGTGATATTATCACACAATCTCAACCACGCATCCCATTTAGTTTTGTGGATTTTTTGGGTGAGGGCATCTGCTGTCAGTCTCATGTTTTTAGGAACAAGTGTGCAAGTCTTACAGGCCAGTGGTTTGACATCTCGTACCCCACCAGAGCCTGGGCGACTGTGTCCTTCCATGGTCTTAGTGTGAGGATGGTCTCCCTTGGCCAGTTGGCATTGATCTGATCCTCACAGGTTATGAAAAGGTATAGCCTGGCCCATGAGTGCATGTGCTGAATTTTAGTTCCAATGCCTGTGCTCAACTGAACTTTCTCTTACACCAGCTTAATGGTGTGATGTCGAGCCTTTCGGGACCCATCTATTTTTTTGAGTAGCCGTCTTCCACCACAGCTAATTTCACTTGTAATAAAGGCTCCTTTGTAAAATATTTCTTTCCTGGTGGACCTTGCCTTATTTGGAACTTGTTTTTGAAGTGTTCAGTCTTCTGACCTTGGCCTCTTTTTTCCGGCATTTGAAGCAGGTTTTGTCAATTGGGATGACTTGTGTTGCACCTTATCCTTTATTGGCTTTAAGGTCACATTTATAAAGTTATTTCGGCTTATCCTATTCCTCGGCCTTTACATATTCTACCCCCTACTTTAGTAGGGTTAATAGCCTATTTTTTGAGGCTCCCGACAGGCGGACCTTGGTTATCTCATCTGCAGAGAGTTGTTCGATCTCCATCTCTTTGCCTTGAAGGGGACGTATTTACCAGATTTATCACTGTTGCCTGTTTGGGCGGCCTCAGAGCCTGTCCCAGATGGAGTTTGATTTTTCTTTATTAGGATTCATACAACTTCCACCAGTAGCTAGGGATGTGGGTGATATATGGAAAAAAATCTCCCAAATTCGCCTTCCTCCATATGCCTGCCTCCGATTCGTTTTCTTATGAAGCCTACATCACACCAGACCGCATCTCACGATTTCAAAATAAATATCTTTCAGACAATTCAACCGATCGACCGGAAAATTTACGTGGGTTTAGACCCTTAAAAACCACATGTAATGACAAAAAAACCTGGTCTCTATAAATAAGTCAGAACCGGAGATATAAAATATAGCGTTTGAGTAACTTTTGTTGATTTCAGTATTGTATTTTTCACTTATAATGACATCAAATTAAAACATTGTTGACATAGGCTGAAAGGCAAGGAATTCGGCTGTTCAAAAGTTGTAAGAAAGTTGAATTTGAATAAACTCTAGATAAGTTATGAATTTTTAAGTGGAACACCGGGCATCGAAGAAAATAAACTTAGGCCTCCGAATAATCCACTCCAAAAATTTGTGTTTAAGGGCTTGAAACAAACAGAATTCTGGATATTATTTTCTTATCCTAGATTAAAAAAAGAATCTAACAATCGACAGATATGCATGCACTACAAAGGTGCAATACAATAGTACAACAATATTTTGTTTTTGAGAAAATCGGAAAGGTTTTTTTTCTCAAATTTTGCGCCTTTCATTATCTTCGATTTTTTCCTTAAAACTTGCCAAATTAATTATTTATTTATTAAGTTTTTTTACGAGAGTTCGCAAAGAGCATTTTTCATATCAACCCTCGGGGTGCCGGAGTATCCGAAAAAAAAAAGCCATTTGTAGATGTAGATGTAATTTTTTCAGGGTATGGTATACTGCGTCCTTTAAGAGCTATTGCATCCCCCGTTCTCTGCCTAAAGCACATCGGTGAGTCCTATTTCGTCAAGAAATTTGATTAATAGGCCCGGTTTCAGTGGTTGAAGCTCTTCTATGGTCACATTGTACATCCCAAATCACTTCCTCCTGCGGGCGAATGTAGCGCCGCAGTTTGTTAGTAAATGTGTTGGTGTCTCTTCTGCCTCCTTGCAGAATCTACATATGCCATCTTGGATTGTTCCAATTTTCTTTAGGTGTCCATTTAATCTACAGTGTCCTGTTAGGATTCGCAGTCTGTTCCTGCTTCCTTTGACAGATTCTGTGATTTCTTTCTTGCCAAAATTGGTTAGAAGATTCTTGGATTGTCTATGTCCAATGAGTGAA